TCTTCCGATCTCCCCAAAACCCCAAAACCCCAATACCACTATAAAAGGCTTATAGCATGCAAAATTAATAAAGTTAAATTAGCTGTTTAATTTAAAATATGATTTAAGAGGAGGCAAATTTGCAACAAGAAGATTCTAAGGATTACAACAATCAGGATCCCGGAGTAACTATAACTAAGATGAAGCAAGAGTAAACACTTGAAGAGTTTGCACTTCACAACTTTGATGCATACGACGAGGTATAACTTCAACCTATGAGTGAAAGTGAGCAAGCTGAATTGACTGCTGACATTTTGCAACAAGAATCTGTGATCCCTAATCCTGCACTTATCCTTGAGCAATTGAGTACAATATTTACTTTAATCATATATAGAGTTGCTGATTGAGAGTTTGAATGATCACTCCAACCATGAAGAAATGGAGAGAATTCAGCAGGAGAGACAAGTAAAAGAGCATAATTTAGCACAATCAATCATTTAAGATATCGTGAAGAAACCTCAGATGTTAGGCTACAAATGGTTTCTTTCTAAAATCTTCAACTAGATTAAACCAGTCAAGAGACTTATTTTCGACTGGATCATCAATATGAACTAGGTAAGAATCAATCTCTTTCCAAAATGTTTGGCTAACTTTTAACTTTTGATCAGAATTAAATGGTATACATCCAGGAAATTGAGAAAGCAAACTCAATATTGAGAGATCAGTTCTATGATATGAGAACCCAATAAAATGATGGTGAGCTTCGCCACATAATCAAAGAGTCAAATAGAATGGAGAATAGATACTATTTCAAAAGAAAGAGAGCAGAACTTGAGGAAATGCAAAGTGTTGAGGATCAACAGCAAGATCAGGATAATGCTCCCACTTCTAAGATTGATTAAGCTAGTACAGCCGAAGGGAATTAGAATTTACAGTCACTACATAAGCTAGTGCCAACTGAGCTTTAAGCTTAGAGAGCAAACTCAATGCCTGTTGTGATGGATTAGAGAGATAGCCAGAATACTTTACCAAGAGCTGCTTCAGATGGTGAAAAAGCTGCAGAACCTGCAGCTAATTATTCCCAGACTGATCCAGTATTTAATCAAGATGATACTACTATCACCAATACCAGAAAGAAGCCGGACAGCTTCTTTGATAACTTCAGCACAAGTTGCAAGATCCCATCATTTTATAGAGATAAGAACTAAGCTGATCTTCAGTTTGAGAACAATCATTTCAACAGTCATTCCTAAACAATGAGAGCAGATTCAAGATCATTTAGAGGAGTAAGAGGATTCCCAAGCAGATATCAAAAATATAGTGAGAACTATGAGAATTGGTCAGGCAGTGGATACTAGAGAACTTCAAACTATCGCTACTCTAGAGTTGTAAATGATTCTTATGTGGAGTCTAGAGGTGATGAATATGGGAGATCAAGAAACTATCAAATTCTCTAGAACAAACCATTCCAGAAAATGACTCATCCCTCTATGTACCAAGATTTGAAGTACAATAGAAGAAACTTTGAACCCTACAATGGAATGAGATACCAGAGTAGCTACTACAACAACTCAACTGGCTATGTGATGAATAGAAAGTTCCCTAACTCATCAGTCTACATAAGAACTTGAAATTTGCTACAGCCAAGGTTATCAGAAACCAGCCTCCTAATTAATTGAGATTTTCATTGTAATTGCTATTAAGTCATCGATATTGAATGTTTAATTACATTTAATTTGCTAAAACTTATATTATTTACTCTATTATTTCTTTAAGTTAAACCTTATATCTGTACAAATCAAACCTCTCATCTCAAACCTTTATCTTTGAATCAATCACTTGACTTGAGTCTTGTAGTAAATTTAATCGAATCTCATTCCAAAAAATTTCAAGTGATTTTTCAGATTGATGCCTCATTTTTATCAAACTTTTTATTGTCAACTTTGCATAATTTTATCTCTTAATACACAATATCTTTAATCCTTTCTATATATAAGCAATAAGACTCTGATTTAAGTTACCTTCATCAATATTAGATTGATTTAACATGCTTGAGTCAAAAGGATTTACTATTGCGACATCTCTATTTGTGTAGCTTGCTCTTGAATCAAAACTGAAATCCAAACTTTTATCTTGCAGATGCTTCCTCATTATATGTAATTCTGTGATGGTCGGAATGAATCTTTGCTAGATTTCTTAAAAATTATCAAATTGATTGATTGCTTAGCCAAAAGCTAGTGGATAGACATTTAATTAAAAATATGCAGGCCATTCCCTAGACCTCAAAGCGTAGAGCAAAAAGCAAATACAAGCTAGTCCTACTAGTTCATTATGAATTATCACAAAGGTATGCATTCCTGTTTATAGTAACATTTTAGAAAATTAGCTAAACACTAAAATATTCAGTAACTAGTCAATAATATAGGCAACAGCTGCTGCAGTAAAAAATCTAGAGTAAGTTAAACTTAAATGTGATTATTACGTGATCATATCTCTTTTCAGGCAGAGTGCTTGCTCAAGATATGGAATTAGGTGCTACTAGGCATGTCTTATATTTTAGTTGAGCATATTCATATTTTATCTTAAATACCTGAATACGATAATGTAGAATAAAATGCAGTATACTCCTGCTAAACAGTACTATAACAGAGTTAGACTAAATTAGAAGAAAAAATTAACTTGCCTTGACTATTTTATTGAGGAATGCAATCTCAATGGTGACGAAGAATGCACTATAATGGAGATATACTGTTCCTAGTGCTACAGTAACATGAGTTGCTTCATCTCTCATTACATAAAATCTGATGATTCCCCACCCCTAAATAATTCATTGAATTCTATGAAGTAATTGACTTACCTTTGCTAGTACTAAGAAAATTGTCAATAAAATAGTCTCAAATAGAGTCTCAAAAGAAATAAGACCCATGATTAGGTATTTGTTAGCAGTTTCCCAAGCTTCTTAGTCAGAGCAAAGTGACATATTTGCGGTAATTATTAGAGTATGCAGAGCCTTTAAAACTGGAAAAACTAGGACTAGTCTCTGCAAATACATTGACTATTCGGGCTTTAACCACAGCGTCCAGAGACAGCTTACGGAGCATGCAATAATCCATACGATTGACAATAAGATGTAGAATAAAAAGAGGCTCTAAGTCTGAGAGCATCTGAGTATAAAACTTATATCGATAATAACAATGTGATCATAATGTCTTTAGAGTGGCTCTACAATAATAGTGGCATTAGATGAAGCCAAACCTATAGAATTAAGATTTATAAGTTATTACTGTGTGCTATGTCAGCACTATATTCTATGAGAGTGTTTTAATTCATGTTTTAATCAAATATTTATTAATCAAATTTTCATTTTAATATAATTTATTAGTGGCTTGGGGTTTTGGGGTTTTGGGGTTTTGGGG